CATTGGATCGATGAATATCCACTTTCATTTCATGGCAATCTTCTTTATTTAGTTTTCTAACAAGTGTTGTTTGTGTCCTCTGCATTAGGTTCACTTGCCCTTTCACATTTTTACTCATTGAAATTTTTTTACATATAAGAAAACCATTAAATAACATCATCTGTGAATTTGACTAAATGAGATTTTATTTCTTCGCAGGCACTTTTTCCAGTGTCCTTTTTGTTTTCAAGAAGTCTGAAGTTCCCTGCAAGAAGTGATGAGATTTTGAAGCAATATAGACATTTTCCTCATATGTATACCTATAAGCCACAAATGATGTCTAGCGATGGATCTCGGAGAGTTTTTTTGGAACTTTCACTAGGGTGAGTTAAGTCTTCTGGAATCGGACTGTTCTTGGTCTGAATATACATGCACTGGAAATTTGATGATGCAGATTCGTAGGTTTTTATAGACTTTGATATTTTTACATTTTCATCTTTCAGTTCCTTGGAGGAGGTTTGGGTTGCAGTCCTTAACATTACTGGCCCTTTATCCAGTTGGTCATTTGCAGACAATAAGCTACCAGGTATCTAAAATGTTTTCATTTCTATTTCACTTCTGCATTGAGGTTTAGTCTGGTCGTCTTTTTTTTTTTTTTGGGTACTCGAGACTACCAAGATTTGAATCCTGATCATTGTAATGATAAATTTTGCAGTCCCAGAAACCGCGGAAGGTGGTCCACCGTCATACATATGCAGACTTAGTGGAGCCAGTCGTGAAAATTGGATCTTCTGGTTAGAGGTAGAATTCTATTTTCAGTTCTGCAATGGCGTTTATCCTCCCCATTCCCCGCCCCCCTAAGAAAGAAGCTTTGGTTTACCTGTATGTACATGATCCATGCTTAACTTGTTATATGGGGGCTTGCATTGCAGGCTAGAAATTCTGGAGATTTAAGGGTGGATGTGGCGGTGCTTGACCAAATTTTAGTAGATGAAGCAAAGAAGTTGAAGAGAGTTTTCCCAGCTTGGGCAGACGTGACTGCTTATTCTAGCTTTTTGTCCAGCTATATCTTTTAGTGTTTATAACGTAAAGGAGTTGATATTCACAAATATACATTGTATAAAATTCCATGCTTGTGGATGCAAATTAAAAATGTTTAATTTCTCCTCCCTTTGAATCGTATATTTTGGCTTTCTCAGAGAACAAAATCTTGAATGATCAAAACAGAATCAGAGCTCTCGCCTACAACATGGCTGATGAAGACATGAGATTGAAAGATCTGAGTGAATATTGTCGTAAACAAACGGAATATAAACAAACCGTGATTTGTTCATTTATTTTTAAAGGTATTCTTATTTGCTAAAAAAATTATTTTATTTTTTCATATTTGTTTATTTAAATAATAAATTATTTGCGTTTTGTTCGTATTTATTCAATTAAGTTAAATAAATTCGTTTGTGAACATTAAACGAATATGTTCACAACATATATTAACGAACATATTCAAAAATAATAAATAAATTATAATCAAACAAACCTTAAATGAATATAAAAGAATCTTAGTAAATATAAATAAATTTTAAAATATGATTAAGATAAAAGATAAAAATATAATTTTATTAGTATTATTATAAACAAACAATAAATAAATAATAAACGAACGAATTTTAAATAAATTTTAAACGAATTTATTTATGAACATAAACGAATCAGACAAATTTTTGTTGATATTCAATTCATTTAATAAATAAATATAAAAATATTATTCAAAATCATTTGTTATGCTTAATAAATGAATATAAATAGAATATAATAATAAATATATTTATGAATAATTCATCAAAAATTTTATTTATTTACACTCGATAAAAATCGTGACTTTATGCATATTTCCAATCAAGGAAATGTTTAAGGGGGGTTTTTGGATTTTACCTTTTTATAATATGCAGCTGATTGGGTACTTGGGCCGTCATTGATGCAGTAAAAGGTCGTTTTTGGGTTGGGCCATGGCAACAATCCACCTTTTTTTCTCTTCATTTTCTTCTCCTTTGCTTGTTTTAGCCCAAACCAGAGGCCACTTCAAAACCCTAGAGTCGGGAATCAATATATTTGTGCAATTGTTACATTCTGTTCGCCGCTCTTCTAACATCTTCTGCTAGGCAGACCCCCAAAAAGCACCTTAGGCAGCAGAAGCAGCAACCAGATCAGCCGCCATGGTACTCATTTTTCTTCAATCGCTTCCTCAATTTATGTTTTAAAGTCTCTTCTTTTTTTATGAGATTATATAACATTAAACTCGATTTTGTTTTTAATCGTTTTTCAGGTGAAGTATTCGAAGGAGCCCGATAATACCACCAAGTGTAAAGTCCCATTTGTTCCTTTTTTGAGTTTTTTCTACTTCTTTTTATGAATCCCAATTTTTTGGTTGGAAACTGATGATCCTTGGTGTTGATTATTTGCAGCCTGCAAGGCAAGGGGCTCTGATCTCAGGGTTCATTTCAAGGTATCATCATCATATAATTTGATTTAATTCTTGATATAAATTTCTGGGTATTGGTTGGATTGTTGTTGAGAAACATCAGTCCATTATATATTGTTTAAGATCCAGTAAATCATGTGACACTAATAAATGATTGTTAAAATTAGATGTAGATTAGCTTGGCACAGTAGTTTCTTGAAATCTTGTATACTCGTATTGTTTTCATCGTTCATAATTGGATTAAATGATTGAAGGGTGATGTGAAGTTTCTCTGTTCTTATTTTTTATTTCTATTTTTGCTTGAGGGAGGACTTTTAAGTGATTTGGTTAACCTTTTTAGAATGTGTTGTTTATGGCTATAGACTTTTTTTGGCCGAGTATTTGGATCCTTATATGATGAAAGAAGCGGGGTCTTGTTGTCTTATGTGAACGAGGCTCTCCTGAACTTCGGGAAAATTACTTTCATTGCTATTGGGTGAATCTCTGGATTTTCTTGGTGACTGAAGATTCAGTAAATGATGCTGCATTTTGTAATCCTTTGGAAAGAATTTGGTTTTTATATTAGTTATGGTATGAGAATGATAAGAATGAGTTTGTGCAATTGTTTTTTGGAGTGCCGTTGACGATTGTTGATTTTTGTGAACTATCATAGTATTGGTTTTATTATATATTCCCCATCATTTTTGGTCTTTCTAGCCTATTTTTTGTTGTTATGGTTTGCTGGTTGCCATCAATGAGTCTCATACCTGGTTATTGTTCTATAGAACACAAGGGAGACAGCTTTTGCCATTAGAAAGTTGCCTTTGGGTAAGGCTAAGAGGTATTTGGAGGATGTTATGGCCCACAAGCAAGCCATACCCTTCCGACGCTTTTGTCGTGGTGTTGGACGTACAGCTCAGGCAAAGAACAGGCATTCTAATGGACAAGGTCGCTGGCCTGTAAAATCTGCCAAGTTCATTCTAGATTTGCTGAAGAATGCTGAGAGTAATGCTGAGGTATGCCTACTCTGGTTTTTAATTTTTTTTTTTTTTCAGCTCTATTTCTTTCCTTTTCTAACAATCTGAAATTAATTTCTCAGGTTAAGGGTTTGGATGTCGATGCACTCTATATTTCTCACATCCAGGTAAACCAGGCTCAGAAACAGAGGCGTCGTACCTACCGAGCTCATGGAAGAATCAACCGTATGTTTTAGAACCACGCACTTGTTATTTTATGAAGTCTATTTTGCTTTCAGATGTTAATAGGAGACTTTGTTCTTTTTCCCAGCTTACATGTCTTCACCTTGCCACATTGAACTAATTTTGTCTGAGAAGGAAGAGCCTGTCAAGAAAGAGGTAATTTAATTAAACTTAAATGTCCTTAATGAATGAAAACAATGCTGTTTTTGTTGATAATCTTCATTTCCTTTCAGCCTGAGACTCAATTGGCTGCCAGAAAGTCCAAGAAGTCCCAAGCTCTGCGCAGCGGTGCTTCCTCTTGAGTGAAAGTTTGAAACTTTAGTCAGTGAAGGAATGCTTTCTGGCCTTTTAATTTCTTACTTTTGAGGAAGTTCTGATATTTTTTTCAAAATAGGATGAGTTGTTTAGGTGTATTGGATGGTTTCTTTTGTTTTCAAACAATGTTCGGTCCAATGTTATCTGAGATTTTATTTTGGACATTTTTGTTTAATCTAGTCTCAGTTCAAATGTCTTTTAGTATTAAGTTGCGTTGGAAAAAAGAGTAAAATATACATACTTTTTCTCAAAAATTGGCCCAGGGTTTTTAAAATTTTAATTTTTATTTGTTTATATTAAAATTAATAATCGAAATAATATTTTAAGATCCGCGATAAGATTACTAACATAATAAAATCATAATTAGTGAATAAATTTGATTTTTAACTGTTGGATTCGATTTTCAAACCTTTTTTGTTAGATTATTAAATTTATTAATCACGAATAATATTTCAGAGGATACGAAATAAATATAACAAAGATCCTTTAGGTTATGATCGATTACTTTCGCAACCGTGCATGAACAATTACTTTCTTTTTTTTTTTTTTTAATTTTGATGCTTGCTTTCGAAACTATTTGTCCTTTTATCAGGATATATTTCTTGATCTTACCGTCCTTTGTTGTCCGAATTCCGACTTTTGCTTTCGACAGGCGCTTTAAGGTTTCAAAGACTCAAAACATTAAAATGTTGGATATTTTCAATATGATTTAATTATAAATTATACTAATAATTTAACGGTTATGGTCTACATTGTAATTTCATCTCTAAAATAAGGTTTTATGTTGAAATTTTCTAATTCCAACTGGTATAAAATTAAGCGGCTTTTTTCTTAAAAATAAATAAATAAAAGCGGTCTTAAAAAACTATAAATAAAATAAATAATCTGCGATGAACGTGAACAAGGATAAAAGGGTAAATATCATTCATAATGTTTAATCTTTTATTATAATTTCATTTTAATTATTAATTTTTAAATTGTTACATTGAAGTTTTTAATTTTTAAAAAATAATTTTATTTAATTTGTTCGTTATATTATTTATTAATAATTAAAAAAAATCTACCATTTACGTTCCTGCTTTGATCGTGCGGCCATGAAATATCGCCAGTTCCCAATATATTAAAATCTGTACTTAAATTTTTCAGTTGTTCTTTCTTCTTTGTTTTTGACTTTCACCTTCAGACATCTTCTCGCTGTCTTCGCTTCTCACTTAACTTTCAGGTAAGTTTTACTCTTTCTCCTCTCTCATTCAATAGTAAATCACAATTCTAGGTTTAGGGTTTCAAATTCAACTTTTTTTTTTTTTTGCTTCTCTTCGAATTTAAGGATAAGTTTATTTGCGAAATTTATGAATTATGTGGAAATGGAAAGGGAATGGGCATTCCCGCTGTAAAGGAGAGGAGGATTTAAAGTTTATTTTCTCTGAAACCAAACATAGCCCTATTAGCCATCACTTTTTGATTCTCGATTTCCTATTTTAGATTATAATTAACAATTAGCTTCCATGGATTAAAGTTTCTGTTTTCTTTTGATTTCTCGCTAACCGAGCAGCATCTAGGGCTTTGATTTAGCGATCTTCGCTCCCAAATCACAATCAATGATCTCTAGGGTTTAACAAAGAATTTTACTTGAAGGAAGCAATTTGGGGATCGGGATTCTTGTGTGTAGCGAATTTGGGTATATTGGTACCTGCAATACCAGCGGAATGTGGAAATAAAATAAGCAGAGATTAATTGTAGGAATGAGAATAGGAAGGTAAAAGATCAATTGTTGAACTCAAGTTATAGCTTAGCTCAGTTGGGTCATGCAGGTACTTTTAAGAGATGCCATCTAGCAGGCAAGAGTTTTAATTTCAGTACTAGCAATCCCTTTTCTATTTTCAGAATGCGGTTTCATTTGTTAAAAATATATATATGTCAATTGTGCAGTGTTCCTATTGAATAAGTACAAAGCAGCTGCATATTCGAAAACTAAACCATTTTATCCAGTTGCTTTAGAAGTGTTACCAGGAGATATTAGTACTTCTGAAAAGCTCGATTAAGACTGGATGGAGTTCTAGTTATAGTTTCTTTAATTGTTTTGAGTCCTTGTTTTTGTTGTGGTTACTCAGATTTTGGCTTATGTTGATGTTGAATTGTGTTACTATATTATAGATGGATTGGCAAGGGCAAAAGCTAGCGGAGCAGATAATGCAGGTAATGCTTTTGGTGTTTGCGGTGATTGCATTTGTTGCAGGTTATGTATTGGGATCGTTTCAGATGATGATTCTCATATATGCTGGTGGTGTGACTCTCACCACATTGATTACTGTTCCAAATTGGCCTTTCTTCAACCGCCACCCACTCAAATGGTTGGATCCCAGTGAAGCTGAGAAGCATCCTAAGCCACAGGTGGCTGTGAGTTCGAAGAAGAAAGCCACCAAGAAGTAGGGTCATTTTAATTTGATCTTAACATCATTAGAGTTTGGATACAGGGCTGAATTGATGTTTTATATCTTTATGTGCATCTATGGATACTGTAGTCTACTTGGTTTCCCCGAATTTTTTGAATTATAAAACAGTTAGTTGAAGAGAATCCTTATGCATCTTGTTCTCTTTGTTCTTGACGCCTCTAGCATATAATTTTATGGCGTCACTATCAATTACTGGAAGTGGAGATGGGATTTGCCTTTTTATTCTTTGGTTGTGATTTAGATTTCCTTTGATTTCATTGTGGTGGCTGTTAAATTTTGTTTGCTCTTGAGAACATTAGGATCTCATTTATGGTTCAGCCGCTGGCTTTGACAATGAATTTTGAATCAATAAAGAAAACATCTGAATTCTTTGTAGAGATTGTTATTGAGCAAAAAGCTTCTGTTTTGCTGGCTGCAGAAACATCGTAGGTGATATAAAGCTTCTGTTTTATGAGTATAAGTTGGTCAACAGTGTTTTGGAGCATGTGCATGGAAATAAAATCTGCTGCCCATTATACTTGTTTAAACCTGCTGAACGTCCACACTTTTCGGCGGCCAAGAAGCTTTAGTGGCAATCGACTTAAATGATATAAAACACATTCTTACTACTTGCAACGGTACTCTTAAAGCAATGAAATAAACTGGTGGCGTTGGTTACGGTGCGTTAGAACATCAAGTCATTCTTCACGGGCTCTACTCCAAGACTAAAACCACTACAAAAAGTGAATTACATGCACTCTGGCAGCTGAGTAAAACACGAAGCATGCTGTCAAATAAGGGTTTATACCAAAAAAGATTTGTCAAACCTCATTAGCATTAGAGATTTAGAAACATCAAGTTTACATTCTCTTCCACAAGGAAAGAAAGAACCTTATCATTTACACTGTGCATGCAAGGCCAGAGATTTTCCTACTGGTTTTCATTTTTTATTGCCCTTACAATTGGGTCATTGTCTAAGTCTAAGCTATCGTCATCATCGAGTTCATCTAATTCATCGAATATTGACTGGTTAATCCTTTTCCGTGATTGTCTCCTATGTTTCTTGGGTTCTAGTCGAGGTTCAGCTTGTTGAACACCCATATCTCCCACTTTGTACCTGCAAATGGCAATTTAGATTTCAGAACCAAGGCGTAAATGTTCACGAGTTAGCTATTAAAAAAACTTACCCATATCTTGGATGAAAAGGTGGGAAAAGAAGGAAAAGAAGAAGAAAATCAGTGCATTTCTTAAATTATTAACAGTACTTCATGAGCAGTAATACAAAAAAAGTGCATTGTGGACTTGGGTAAAACAAAAAATGAACATTGTAATAAAACAAAATTGGCTGCAACTTACAGGTAAAAGGATCCTGTAGATATGAACAAGCACTTGAGAATTATGAAAATAGATCCCCTTATTGAAGATTTGGAATTAAACTCTCTCATTAGAGAAAGATAAAAGCATTGGGCAGTTGTCATGATGACTATAAACAAAAGTATATGCATTTAACATAATGTAGTAACTTTTACTACTACAAATGAAGTTAGTACCTCTAATAGAATTATGTTACGTACAATATTATCAAAATATTAATGAAAACAAGACTCCTCTTTTCCTTTTGCATATTATTCTTGGCTCTTGTCTATATGTCTACAGAATATATACCAACATATGAAAAGGGATTTTCTCTAAGAGTTAACTTGTAAGTGATGTGCATATGCTCCATATTTTTAGTTTACATACCTAACATCACCCTCCCTCTTGGTCCCAAATGTCCTCAACTGAAATTCCTCTCTGATTCTGATCTCATCAAGAAGTTGAAAATAATATGAATATCTTTCCCAATCCCCTTTCACAACGCACCCTGGTTCACCAAGATGTAAGCAATTATTGAATGAGCATTTCGCAGGTTCACTGTCTTTTAGCATTTTCTGAATCTGAAAAGAAAAGTGGAAGAAAGATATAAGATGAAACAAACAAGTGCAAATGTACATTTGAAATTGATGCAGTGCACGTAAAGAGCAAAGTGCAACCAAATTTTGTATAATAATCAGTCAACAGGCAAACAACCTCAGGGAAAGCTTGGGCAAGAGATTGCTTTGTCACTTTCATCAAACTAGGTTGGTTAAACCCAGGAGTATCAGCAACATAGCCCCCTCCTGATAGTGGAAGCAAAGAAACATGTCGAGTAGTATGTTTTCCTTTGCCACTTCTTGTTGAAACCTCCCCAACCCTTTGATCTTCAAACCACTTGCTGCCTAAAATCTAAGGAAATAACTGTTCTTTAAGGAAGAGAAAATATACAGCGCTTACCATTCTCAACACAGAAAAGAAAAATGAAGAAAGAAATCTTAAAGAATAAGCAAACAAACCCACTGGATCAAACCAATTATCTCCTTGAAGGGAATCAGAAGCATGGTGATTACTTCTGAGAACATTAATAAGGCTTGATTTGCCAACCCCACTTGGACCGACAATTACAGTTGTTTGATCCCTCAAGTAAAATGCAAGAGAGTTAAGGCCCTTTTTGGTATCAACACTGCAAAAGAGCGGTTCATAGCCCCATCTTCGCAACCTTCTCCTCCAAGCAATAAGAGTCTGCAAATGCATTTCAGAGTCCCAAAATGTAATTTGGCAAGAAAACCACACACAACCACAAAACGGGGGGATAGCAGAAATAAGAGAAGAAAAAACAAAAGTTATTTGAAAATATAAATGTGATTAGGAGATAACAAAACAGAAATTTGGGGGACTTGATAAGCAGAACCACATAAAGTGCAATAAACATTACTTTCAGCAGCAATTCATTCATTTCTTTCTCATCGTTGAATCCAAATTAAGGCAAGTAAAATTATCATGCCATAAACAAACAACCAGAAATTGGGGTAAGTTCAACTAAGAGAACGTCGAGATTCGAACCTCTTCATCAACGAGTTCCGTTTTGTTCAAAGCAAGCGTGAGGGGAATTCCAGAGGACTCAGCTTCAACTAAGAATCTTGTAAGCATAAAGGGCTCGATCCTCGGCTGTTCCATCGAGAAAAGCACGAGCAAATGATCGACATTAGCGACAGGTGGGTCAAAGATCTCGGAGCTCCGTTGAAACACATTCTCTATCAGGCCACGTCGATCCACCCAATCAATGGACCCCACCACCACCTTGTCCCCTACCAGAACCCTCCTCTTTATCTTCTTTAAAACTGCCTTCACCACGCACAGCAACTCCACCCCGATTTTAGTGCTGGAATCTTCTTCCTCGGGACCGCTAGAAGTTTCTTCTCCCTGAGGTTTCTGTTCCGCTTGCACGATGACGCGCATGAAGTTGGCCTGGGCGGCGGCGACAGTGCCGAGAGCTTGGGATTCGGAGAGGAAAGGGATTTCATTAGGAGCAAGGACAGGAGCTAGGGAGGAGTAGTCTTTGAAGAGGTGTTTGGCTTTAAGGAGATTCTTGTTCGGCTGGGGTTTCTTGGAAACGTTTTGTCTGGAGTTCGAGGGGGACTGTTTGGCAGAGAGAATAACAAGGTGGCGATTGGGTGACAAGTGGCGGAGTAGAGTGGTGGTAATGGCGGGTGCTCGGTTGCGGAACAGAGAAAACGAAGTGATCGGCATGGGGAGCAGTAGAAATTGATTGGTTGTTGAATTCGTTGTCAAATGATTTTATATCAGAGGGAGAGACGATGAGAGTGATGAAATGTGTGAGGAGTTGTTGTGGGCGGTTGAGGAGTTTTATCCATTTTCGGTTGAGGTAGCGTTCACCGCTTTCTTCGCGTACTTTAGGTCCGTATGGACAGTGCGAGGACCTTTTTTCTTATTTCTTTTTTACCCTGCTCTGGGTTCGCCCTTTAACGGTAGATCCACGGTATTTGTTTTGGAAAAAAAATGGAAGATCATTGGGAGTTTTAGGGCCCATTTAAATAGCATTTCTACAGGTCAAGGCCCAGACTTTTGTAATAAATGCTAAACATTCCAATATGGAAGGTAGCCATTTTTGGGTTGGGCTAGAAGCAGTGGGTTCCCAAGCAACTGCATAAAAATGTTCTTCTTCTTTTTTTATAAAAAAAAAAAATTTACCCATGGCTGAAGAGTTGGGAGTCCTAAATGCTAAATAAATGGGATAATTAGGGAAGGAAAATTTATATGCGTTCGAAATTGAATTTTAATTTTGTGAAAATTAAAATTTTTTTAAGAGAGTTGAGTGAATCATTTGAACTAAATCTCATGTTCCTCTTTTCATTGTATTACTACAAGGAAACTATACACTATTTGTTCCCCTATGTATTTTTAAGTATCAATTGGTTCTTCTAATTTCTTAGATATTTTATATGAGTTATAACATTCAAAATGGTTATTGTGAGACGTTTAGACACACAATTTCATTAATCTTGAACTAAAAATTTCATATATAATTATAAGTTGGCTAAAATTATGATTCTTATAATAGTTCATATATTTTTTATTGGTGTTTGTTAGGCAGAAAGTCCTTTAATTGATCATCCAAACAAGTAGAGGTAAAATCAAATCATAAATCATTCATGCAAGAAGATGATAATTTTAACATGGTTTGATACTTAACTTATTTACTTCTATAAATAAGAGAAAAGATTTATTAATTGTAAAAAATTATAAACATACAATATCTTAATTCCAAAATGATATCTAACGATCTAAAAATGATCTTTAACAATTCCAATTCAATATTTACACACATGAGCATATTTTTTTTATTAAAATATTACATTGTTCAATCATAATAAAAAATTATGTACAGATCTATCACTTATAAGTGTGGGTTTCATATAATTTTTTATAGACTGCATGTAATTATAAATTATGATTGGTTAATTGTATTACAATTATTGTAGGTGAAATACTCTTTATATACATACTAATGTAAATTCTTTCATTCTTTTTTAATCTATTCACGAACATAACAATAATCATATCCATACTCTTTCAATTTTCTTTTATCCATCTAAATAAAAACACATATTTATATGGATCATCTCAATCTATTATAATTTTATAAGTATTTATCTCATAAAATATTATAATTCTCTTACATATTTTTATCATACGTAACCTGCTAACCTTATAAAGACTTGCACTATTTGTAAGTCTACTAAAAATTTTTTTTAATATTTCTCTTATAATTTTTTTTATCAAATAATATATAATTAATTTCAAAATTTTTTAACAAATTTTATATACGATTTGAGTTACTATTTTAACATTGATATGTAAGAACATAAATAAAAGGCTGTCTTGGTGTGACAAAGGGTCATTAATTCTTAGTTAAGCCCAAAAATATGTGTTGATTAAATGATATTATCTCTATGGAGGGATGGAGGTTGACCATTTCTAAATTATGAAGAAGCAGCTTAATGCAGCAAAGTGAGGTTTAATTTGTAAATTGCTTTTGTCTAATGGTCATATGTCTTTCTTGTCATAGGATAGAATCAAATTTCCAATTCTTGATGTGATGAATCAGCCATAGGATTGTTTCCAAGTATTTTATCTACCAAGATTATAGCATTCAATTTTCCTACTCATGATTTGGGTTAATTTTGCTCCCAAGTCCCAACTCATGTATTATCATTCCCCTGCCTATCAAATCTACTCCCAATTCCCAACAGCATGCCTTTCAGCACTCTGATCTTGATCCCTTTTTTTTTTCCTTGTTTAGCCTATTTCCTATAATGAAGAAAAAAAGTATATGTATTTTCCCAGATAGAAAATAAACTTTTCCTCTTTTAACTTGAAAAACATCTTCTTACTTAAACTTTGTTAATTATTAAAAATTATTTCTCTAATAATTTTTTTATTCTGACTTTTACTCCAGACCTTTTTCTATCTACAAAATAAAGAGAATTCAATTAATTTTAAATTTATCTTTAATTACTATAAAATTCAATTTCAATTAAGTTCTCTTTTAATTCAAGTATCTATTAAATATATTTAATTTATCTTTAATTTAATTATATATAAATTTTGCGATGAATTAATTAAATTATCTTTAATTGCTAACCATATGTATTTTTTTTTCATCAAATTACACCAGGTCAATGTATTTTTTCTAAGATTGATATCGGATCATATTTGACACGGGTCGAAACCCGTCGGGTCGGGTTGAATTCTCATCCTTAATTTTTTCCATCATATATTGAAAAAATCTGATAAAGACAGCATTTTAAAAACGTTAATTAGTTAGAGAAAGCCTCTCAAGTAAGGTAATGCATTTAATCAGAAATAGGCAATGACATTTCCAATATAGAATTGCATTCAATGAAAAAATAACACATATGATAATTTATATATTTATGATATTTAAAATATTATTAATTTATATTTTTATATCATATTTTATATAAAAAAATTATGTATTATAATTTGTGTTAATATAAAAATATAAAATATTTTTTTATTTTATTAAATTTATTTTTAATTATATTATTTTTATATTTTAATTTATATTATTTTTATATTATATCATTATATTATATTTTAAATTATTAAATCTAAAAAGATGCACATAAACTTTTTTTATTGTCTAATTATTATTATTATTATTATTTTTTAAATAATCAGTTATGTTACAATATGGGTTGATTTTAGGCCTCCTCGTGCGCTGTGCACTTTACACTTTGCACTGTTTCATTGGTGAACATTTGGTCTTTCTCTGGAGTTGCGTTTCTTGATTAATTATATAAGCCGACAGACAATGTCGGCCACTTTTTCACTAGACGATGGCTGTACTGATGAAATATCAGGCGTTGGAAGAGGCAAGGCTGACTGTGAGTATCTGACTTTTTTTTTTAATTTATTTTTAACCGCTGGGTTTTGCCTCTGAAGATAGATTTTGAAGTCAGGTCCATATGAACGAATGATAAAATTAATTTAAATAAAATTAAAAAATAATAAATTTATTATAATTATGATTGAAAAAAATTATATAAAAAATTTAATATTAAATAAATTTTATTAAAATTAATATTTAAATTTAATTAATTATATAATAAATTATATTGTATTACATTAAAAATACGATAAAATCTAAACTCCCCACTCATACACTTACAAGCATGGCATGGGTGGTGCTTTCAAAAGTTCGGGCCGAAAAGCTATAATTGTTCTTTGAACGAAGGAACCATGCCGATAAATTGGACCGCAGGGCTATCCTGAACCAGTTATAAATTTTAGTGCTGTCCTGGACAGGCCTCCATCACTATGCCCGACCACACGTCTCTTTCTTTCCTTTCTAAAATACCAAGCCAACCCAACCAAAAACTGGCCTTTATGGCCTTAATGGGCAGGCAAACTGTCAAAGTTAGCTAGACTCATCAACTTGCGTCCCACCAAGATCCAAATCGCCCACTGGCCGTCAACTTCGACTCTGTTCCACTACCCTTCTTGACCCCAAAACAACTAACTATTCAATTCAACCACCTGTCAAAACAAGCCTAAGAATCTTGACAGAAATTATGTCAATGCCGTAACCACACACGTAAACAAAACTGCCCAGTCGATGTCGTCGACGGGGGGCGACCCCGAAAGTGCACATCCAAAGCTCTGTATGATCCCTTGTCCCGTGATGAATCCTTATCCACACGGAGAGTGAAGATACTGGGAAAAAAAAGTCTATGGCATGAAGGAAATGCCGACTCCAAGTGAATCTCTTTGAATTGATTGTTTTTATCTTAAAATACCACAAATATGGTATGAGGTGAAGACTGCTTGCAGCGACCACAGAAACATTGAAGATTATTTGTCCATATCAAGCTATATTTGTGAAAACACCATCCATCGATTTCTATCAGAAATGAAAGATATAGAATACTAATATATACAGCACCATAAAAATTTCAAACTACGAACTGAAAAAAAAACTCAAATCCAAACTACAAAATAATTGATAATCTGAATATTAACCTCATTGCTTTTTGTTAAAGAACCAACATTCGGTTCAACCATAAATGCATGTATCAATGTAAAGAAAAATATCGAATCTCTTTCTTCTTTTAAATATAAAAAATCCTACCACTCATTGTTTTAATTGCAATTGGAAGATTTTATATTACTAAGCTTAGTTTTAAATTTCATCACATCTTTGATGTAGTGTAATTGAATTCATTATACCATTAATTAAATTTAAATGTTAATTTTAATGAAATTCATTTAGCATATATTTTTTATTGAATTTTTTTCAATTATAATTATAATAACTTTTATAAGTGAATTAGATGTAATCCCTTAATAATAAGTAAGTTTTTTAAAAAAATTTTAATTTACGTATATTTATTTTAAAAATTAATAATTATTTAATAATAAAATATAATCATAATTTATTAATAATATATAAAATTTATATACAAACAATATATCAAATATAAATTCTAACTTCATTGCTTTTTTGTTTAAAAATTAATATCCGGTTCAACCATAAATGCATGTATCAATGTAAAATATATGTATATATATATATATGAAATCTATCTTTTTCAAGTATAAAAATTTATACTATTCATTATTTTAAGTGTAATTGGAAGATTTTCTATTACTAAATTAACGATTCATTGATAATTCTACTACTCATTTATGATTGGTGCGATTGAGTCAATATTGGCGAGCACTCGTATGCAACGACCTAGTCAGCTAGACCACGAGGGACAAAGAAAATAATAAGTCAGCTGAAATTGAATGAAGGTTGATTAGCGTGGGAGATTTGAACATGCAGGTTGAAATTAAGCTAGAAGTTTGTGTTGCAATCAAGGTGATGCGTCTATTCCAACTGACAAAAACTAAAAAATTATTACTTAATAGACAAACAAATATCGTAATTCTTATCCTGAGGACCTTATTTTGCTGCGACAAGCTTGTTTTTTTTTTTTGGCCAGAAAGAAAGAAAGACGCTGGTAAGAATCTTGAACTAATTGTTTGGTGACAACAGGAAAACAATCAGCCACTGACAGTGCCAGCCATGGGAATTAACAAAGATAATGACACTGTGAAAATTATGGAGCAAATTCTGGAAAAGATTTAAAAAAATTTTTAAGGTGAATTTTGTAAAATTTTTTATTAAAAATGATTAAATAAAAATTAAATTTAAAATTAATTAATTAAAAAGATCAAGTATGTAAAATTTTTTAAAAAATTAATGATATATTTTTAATAAAATTTTTACTTTTCAATAAGTATTAATTAAATTTAAATTATAAATTATATTTTTATTTTTTTTTACATATTACTAATTTTTATATTAAATTCTATCAATTTTTTATTTAAATTTTTATTCAAAATTTTATCTAAATTTTGTCCATCAAATTCTTACATCATCTCTGTCCTTTTATCTGTCAATTTCAAATGATGGTAGTTTGACTTTGAAATTGATGCTCAGTCAAATATGGTAGTAAATTTATTACGTGAAAGCAAGTAAATTTTTAGTTTAACATTTTCATTGCAATAAAATACGAATTCCACTTCTTTATAATTTTGATTAGAAAAATCTAATCAAAGTGGAATTCATTAAAAAAAATCAAACGACCTAAGAATTGCGTAGAGCAAGCATAAACCCTCAACAACTTAGGATCCATTTGAACTGAACTGGAGCTACGGTAAGGCGCGTTTATCATCAAAAAGCTCCATTTGGATGTCACCCTTCGGTGCTATTGGAAGCTTTGGCGCTGCACCACAGCTAGAGTTTTAACTGGACGAAATTCTTCAGTCCCCAACGTCACTTTGTTCCTGTTTACCTCTTATTTTAAATAAATTTATGCTATTGATTTTTAAATAATAATAATTCCTTTAATTTGGGAATGGAAAAAATTGTGTCTTTCCTCATATGTGGCAGCGCATTGTCTGTTTTTTCTTTGTTGCTACTTTTATGGCTATATATTCGTTCCCTCATTCCTCGCTCTTTCGTATCAAACAAACACAACCCACCTCCATTTCCGCTTATCTTATAACAAAAACTCACTATTTCCTATTTTTCAGGTATCTTTTTTACATTATCTTCATGGTTTCTCTTACTTTTTTCTGTTCTAAATCTCCATATATATATGTATGAAATTTATCTACTTTCATAATCAGATTTGGATAAAAAGATTTTTCCAAATGTTGTTGGGTTTTTTTCTTCCTTTTTAAAGCTGTTTTTTTAGATGTGTTACAGTCATGATTGTTCTTGTTGTTTACACCTACTAGGTAACATATGGCTTGGGATATGTATTTTTTTTGGCATTTTTTCTGTGGGTGTTTTAGTGTTCATGATCAGATCTAATGGGTCTTAATGTTCTTTGCTCCAAGCTGTTTTATTTCTTACTAGAAAACACTCTGCCCTTTGTTGTATTTTCTCACCTTTATTTTTCAGGGAATCTGGATTTCATAGTTTTGATTGATTTTTTTTTTGTTCCAATCCGAAATGGAATCAAGTTTTCCATTAATTTACACAAGTCTACTGTCCTAACTTGCTGTCCTGCCCTTTGTTTTAACTTTTCTGATTTTCTGATATACCTCATCATGATTGATGAAATTACGTCTGATCTCTCCGTAGCTTAAGAACTCATTTTATGATTTTAGTTATAGTTGATTTTTTTCTCTTATTTTTCGTTTTATTTCATTTTAATTTTCAATAGAAATGGAAGGAATCCTTTTATATATGAGATTTCAGCCCAAGTTTAGGTTGGTTTTCATGCTCTGTCTGATGGTGGGTAGGGTAGGTGAAATTGAGATCTGGGCTTTTCCAAGTTAGGGGAATATAATAATGCCTTTGAGTCGTTGTTCTTCCCATTTGTCTATTTACCACTGCAAATAAAGTTTTTTTTTTCTTTTGGGGTCACAATTGCAGCACGTTGAACTTTTAAGTTTAGAATCATAGAATTGAAGCACTTGTTCTACCAATATTAGTTTTTTTTTTTTTTTTGTTCTTGTGATTGGATTTGGGATGTTTCCAAGCAGTACCAGGGTGCTGCTGCAGGCCTGCAAAAGTGTAGTCAAAAGAGGTTGTGTATTTTGTAGAAAAATCACCTTATTGCTATCATGATTAATGTTATTAACTTATTTTTATATGAAATGGGTTTGTTTAAATTTGAATTGATCTTTCGTTTTTATACTTTATATGTTCAGGTGATTACCGGTTCCATCAAAATGGAAGTTATTGGGGGCTAAAACTGCTGAATTTTATGGCCTTCGCAGGTATAATTTTTCTGATTTCTTCGAGTATTACCTATAGTTAAATTGTTCTTTCGTTGGTTTCCTATCTTTATACTAATTTTCTATGGTTTGCACTCTTGTATTTAGATATTTGGGCGATGTGTGGGCAAAGGAACGGGTATACAGGTGTGCAAAGAACTTTACATAGTGCAATACGAATTAACTACTCAAAGAGCAAGGGCTCTGGCATGGAATATGAATCAGACTGGATGAAGCATAGAGTATCCTCAGCATTCACAGCTCAAGTGATCCGTTCTGCAACATCGCTTATGCCTTGGTGTTGTAAAATCCCTATAGGTGATGGGTTTCATGAGTTTCTTTAATTAGTTTACTAGTATTTAGAAATATTGACACATTCTTCGGGAGATATATTTGTACTGAATACGAGAATCATCTAGAAAATGCCTGGTTTTGTGAGAGGAAAAAAGAGAATCACAGAACCCAGTATGTGTCTCACCTCCCCGGTTAAGCAAGATATACTGATACATTCAAAAGGCAATCCTCATTCATCTGCTCAGGCCAGTGACGAATTACAAAGCCCTCTGCTTCCAGGGCTTCCAGATGATGTTGCCAAGTATTGCCTTGCTCTTGTTCCTCGTTCCAGCTTCCCTGCCATGGGTGGTGTATGCAAGAGATGGAGGTCTTTCATCCAAAGCAAAGAATTCTTAACAGAGCGAAGAATAGCTGGAATGATTGAAGAGTGGCTTTATGTTCTAACAATGGATTCTGAAGGGAAGAAAAGCCACTGGGAGGTTTTGGATTCTTTGGGACAGAAACATCAGCTACTTCCACCAATGCCTGGTCCTGCAAGAGTTGGGTTTGGGATAGCTGTCCTAAATGGAAAGCTTCTTGTCATGGCAGGCTATTCATTGATCAATGGGACTGCCTCTGTCTCAGCAGATGTTTATCAATATGATTCTTTCCTCAACAGGTTTGTTTTCAATTTTCACTTTTTATAGGAAGCTTGAAATTCTACATAGGACTGATTAAGAACTTTAGAAACTGAACCATTTTGTATGGTGGGGAGGTTTAATCCTTTTTAATATTTGAATTTCTTCCAGCCAAAAATTAGGTTATTAAATTAAAAGATTTGGTTTAAAACTATTTCTATATTGAAGTATGAAATATTGTAAGATTGGTTAGACTCGAACAGAATTTAAGGTTTCTTGAATGGCCCCTCTTGTTATATTGGTTTTTATGAATCTTAAATAGTTGAGCTATCTATTTTGAACATTTATCAAATTAACTTGAAATAGTAATAGACAACTTACTGCTGGAAATTGTTACGTTCTTTACTGGCTAGGAAAATCAATAACTATTTGGAAGTCTTCATCCATTTGAATTGAGACTACAGACAATATGAATGGTCCCCCATTCCATGTTACTCTTAGAAACTCCCTCCCATGCCTAACATGCGTAATAAGAATTGCAACAGTTTTTCATTCTTGACGGTTTTAACACATCTTCATAACTGCAGCTGGAGCAAATTACCTGACTTGAATATTGCACGCTATGATTTTGCTTGTGCGGAGGTAAATGGCATGGTTTATGTTGCTGGAGGCTATGGGATTGAAGGTGAGAGCCTCTCCACTGCAGAGGTGTATGACCCCGACACCGATAAGTGGACCCTTATTGAAAGCCTACGCCGACCACGCAGGGGTTGTTTTGCTTGTGGATTGAATGGAAAACTTTACGTCTTGGGTGGAAGGTCAAGCTTCACTATTGGACACTCAAGGTTTATGGATGTGTACAACCCTGAGAAGCACACTTGGTGTGAGATGAAGAATGGTTGTGTCATGGTCACTGCTCATGCTGTGCTGGAGAAGAAGCTTTTCTGCATGGAGTGGAAGAACCAGCGGAAGCTGGCAATATTCAACCCGGATGACAATTCCTGGAAGATGGTTCATGTTCCTTTGACAGGGAGCACAAGCATAGGGTTTCGTTTCGGTATACTGGATGGGAAACTTTTACTATTCTCAGTGGAAGGAGACCCTGGTTACAATACCCTTTTGTATGATCCAAATGCAGCCCCTGGATCAGAATGGCAGACTTCTGATATAAAACCTTCTGGTTTGTGCCTATGCAGTGTGACAATCAAAGCTTGAAAGAAGTATTGCCTAGTAGTTAAGGATCTCCATTAAGTCTAGAATTTCTTTGTGCATTTGCTAGACATTTTCTCGTTAAGTTTCATTTGACTGTATTGTCATATGGCAATTACTTTGTATGAGACAATGAACACGTCTGGTTCCAAAACTTTCTTTCTGTTGAATTATCTTGATGATGTTCATATTAGTTGGATTTGCATCCACATAGCTGTTAGAGAGATAAGCTACTCTTGGAGTCACAGGAACATGCCAGAGAGTTCGTACACATAAGTTGGATACTATTTAAATTCAAAAGTTTAATTTATCGGATTTTTTAGTATAAGATATTTCATTTAAATTTTTTAGTAATACGAGATTTTTTATTAATATGTGAATTTTATTTCAACCAACAACAGCACCCTTCGTTTTATAATGAAATTGAATAACTATTTTGAATATAATGAAATGGAATAACTACATTTTGTATTTGCATCCAATAAGCACCCTTCACTTTATAGATGTGATAATTTTAAATAAAATATAGTACTATAACACTAAAATTTAAAATTTTAGGCAAAAATCACATGAGTGTTTAATAAAAATAAAAAATTATATTTTTTGTTTAATATGTTTACATAAATTATGGCATACATGTTTAACACAAAATAAACATTGTATAAATATACGAATTATTAGATTTATTTAATTAATCAACACTTTTTTTTTTCAAAAAGTCAAACACCCCTCTAAAATCTAACATTGTTATTCATCCAAACATATTAAAAGGGTTAATGTCATGAATAACCTTTGAATTATAATAAAATATTTAATTTGATATTAAAATTTAAAATTTTTTTTAATATAATATATAAATTATGAATTTATTAACTAATTTAACACTCACCATTAACGTGATTAATTTCATATAATAATACATAAGGAATAAACAACCCTCCAATGAATTTTTTCTTTAAAGTAGTTTAAAATTTTTATTTCCCAAATAAGATACTTTTAAACTTATTTCTTTATTCAAGGTATTTTAATCCAACTAGAGGTCATGTCATTTTTTAAAAAATAAAATAACAGATTGGAAAATTTGAAAAAATAATTTTTGTTCTTAACAAACATTAAAAATTAAATAATCTGTTTCTTTCTCTTTTCAACCTTAAATATATAAAAAAAAATCCACGTAAAAAATTCGTAAGGGTCAATATAATTCCAAGAACAAGGGAATGAAAACAATAGTTGCCCAACCCAACTACTAAAGGCTGATTATTGTTCAGTTAAATCAACTAACTCCTTTGGGCAGAATTAAGGTTGCATCACATGCAGGGCACACGTCAAAATCTAAGCCAGCAGAAGCTGAAGCTTTCCATTTAGTTTTCACCACTATGTTTCTTCAATTTGTTTATTTTTTGTTTGAATTGGTACCAAAGAAGCCAAGCCATTCTTCGTTATTTCAAATGGTTAATTTACCAAACAGTTATTTTGGCCCATTAAATTTAGAAAGACGTGGAAAGGGGGGGGGGTGGTTTAAGAGAGGAGTGCATTAATTATGATTGTAAATAATATATTAGTATTTATAAATTATTTAAATTTTATTTGAATAAAATTTAAATTTAAATTAATTATTATTTAATTGAGTTTGAGCTTAAGTAATTTGATTCATTGATTAAGTTGAATTTGAATATTTTTATACTCAATTTGAGTATCTCATAAATTTAATTTAATTTTTATATTTAAATATATTTTTATACTATTTTAATTAATAAAATATCTCGAACTAAAACTTGAGCTCAAGCTCGAATATAAATAATCAAATTTTGTATCGAATATAAGAATCAAATTTATTTTTATATATTAATCAAACCCAATTGAACGAATTTGAATAGTTTGATTTTTATAAAATTCGATCGAGTTTAAGAGAGGAGGAGTGCATTAATTATGATTGTAAATAATATATTAGTACTCATAAATTATTTAAATTTTATTCGAATAAAATTTAAATTCAAATAAATTATTATTTAGTCGAGCTCGAGCTTAAGTAATTCGATCATTGATCAAGTTAAATTTGAATATTTTTATACTCAACTTGAGTAGCTCGTAAATTTAATCAAGTTTTTATATTTAAATATATTTTTATTATTTTAATTAATAAAATATCTCGAACTAAAACTTGAGTTCAAACTCAAATATAAATAATCAAATTTTTATCGAATATAAAAATTAAACTTATTTTTATATATTAATCGAACTCAATTGAACGAATTTAAATAGCTTGATTTTTATAAAATTCGATCGAATTTTAAATCTCAAATTTCAAATTAAATTTAAACTTAAATTTAATATTACATCGACTCGAATTAAATTGATTATACTCGTAGTGCCAACTAATGTTTTAAATCTTTCAACATGTAAAAACATACAAAATTGTAAATTAGGGAGACAGAGAGGAAAGAGTATCTAAATCTAAAATCCCCAAAAAAAAATTGAATCAAGAAATTTTAGGGAAGGGAGAATGAGATCTGTGGGTGACAAATGGGTAAAAAGGCATATATTATTGCATTTAATAATAGCGAGTGATGATAATTAATTCTTAATGAGAATGATCTGAACAAAAGAGACACTGGGATTGAGGGAGATGTGAAGTATAGTTTTTAAGTTTTAAACAACTAATTTTATAGTTTTATAAAATGGAGAGCAGACGTGGAATCCAAACGTACAAAATTACCTTATTTTAGGAATAAAATTTTACATTAGTTTGGAAAATAAAATCATAAATCAGGAAAAAAATTATTTTTTAATACTATATTAATTAACAAATTTATAATTTATATATTACATTAAAAATTTTTTAAATTTAAATATTATATTAAAATTTTTATTATAATTTAAAATATTTATAACATTAACTCAATTTAAAAATAAATAAAAATGTCCAACTCCAAAGAGGAAAACTGAGGCAGAAAATTGAGCCTCACTCTCGAATGGCGCCTTCATCTTAAAAACGAACACGGCAATTCCTCTCTCGATTTGAGCTTTCAACAAACTCGACATTCAAGAGAATTCAACAATGTTCGGAGCTCAGGCTTCCACTTCCGCATTCGGCACTCCTCTTTCCACGCTAGCGTTTGTCACTCCTTCTTTCATACCTGCTTCGCCGCCGGCGTTTGGCACTCCGTCAACTCCGTCCGGGCTTTGGCGGCTCCACTCCATTCTCTTCTCAAACGCAACAGCAACAGACTCCGTTATTTCTGCAACAACAGCCAGCCGCAGCAGCACCTTCTAGTGGTCGATTGTGGATGCTTAACAAGGAGGAGGCTGGGAACCCTAAGTATGCTTTCAAGGTTCCTTTTTTTTTTCAATGCTTAATTCATATTTTAATTATTTTTAATTCAAATCAAGAGGAAGAACAATTGCAGTTTTATTATCCTGAAGCTACATTGCTCCTTTTTCATGCGGTTATTTAACTGTGAGAAATGTAATATTTTGAATCCTTGTTGATTTTCTTTTTATTCCACGCAGCCGAATAAAAGATTAGGGTTTTGGGTGGTTCACATGTGTATTGATGGTTGAGTTAATTTTTTATGCAGCATTTGTTGTTTAGTGTAATAGACCCACAATTCAGGGCAATGCCGGCTGGTGTATCGGATGTAAGTTTTCTTAAGCAATTTTTCACTTCTAATTTTTCATTCCTTATTGTTAGGTTCATTGAGCTCTACTTTTACTAAGATTGGATGATAGTATGATAAGAGATATGAATGGGTAGGATACAGAGATGATACAGTATTTTTCATTTTCATTTTCATTTTCGTTTTCAAAATTTTATATTATATCTATTTTTGTATTTATACTCAATGAGTATTTTAATTATATTCTCATTCCTATCCTATAGATATTTAACGGGTATAATCTCTATATTAATAGCTTTTTAAAATAAAATAAAATTTTATTTTTTAATTTTTTTAAAAATTTATATATTTAGATAATTTTTTATAAATATATGTTAAAATTTTTTAATAAAAATATATTAATTTTAATTACTTTAAAATAATAATTTATATTATTTAATAATAAAATCATTTTATTAATTATATATAAATATATATATAGGGTAAGATGGAGGTGTTATATTATCCCTCCCTATACTTTTGTTTAATAAAAATTTAAAATTATATCTATTTTCATTTTCATACTCACAATATAATCTCTATCTTCATCTTCATTCGAATAAAAAAATTAAATATTTCATTGAATATGAATAAAATTAACGTACCTATTTACATTTATAAATCATATAGACGTAAGGTATGGAGAGTGAGTGCCGATGGGGAAAGACTCTGGCCTCAGCTTGTTATGGGTTTTAAGGATCTTTCACAGCGGTTGAAGGTAATTATTGTTTTTATTTGAGATGTGGAGAGTGACTTTTCTTCGTTGTTTAGTTTCTTTGTGGTGGTATTGTCTGGAAAATCTTCAATGGCGAGTGATCCTAATAGCAATTTGTGCATGCATATAAGGTTTTGGTACCGGTAATTAGTGACTCCTATTTTTCCTAAGGAACTTGTCCTGATATAACTATCTAAAAGGAAGAATCTTATGCACTATTGTGCTTGTGATTTGCCAAACTGATGGAATTTTGCTGGTCGATACCTGTAGCTTTTAGAAAGGCTAGTCTTCCTATCCTGTGATCCTCTTGTTGTGTTTGCTATACTGTCATCAAGAGTTCGTGCTGACAAGCAGATAATATCACAGTTGAAAGGATCAGAAGCAGAACTTTCTAGGAGGGTTCTAAACCTGCTCATCGTGTCTTGTGTTAAAGCAAATAGTATTGGTGCTGGGATTCTCTTTATCTTCCAGGATCAACTAAAATACATGATCAGAGTCTTGCTGATACACAGGAGGTAGGACAAAGAAATTCTTGCTGATAGAAGATGTGAACTTGATGGCCGTTAACTCTGACAATTCTTTGCAATGCTTTTTTCTTTTTTTGGGTAGTTGGATTTGATAGGAACTTATAAGTTGATGTTTTGATGGTTCTCGCCAATGTTCAGTGATGCAAGCGTGTACCATGATTAATTCTATTATCATTGGCTATTATCCTATATAGAAATGTTCATGCAGTATTACATTTAATCTATGTCATCATCAACTCCATTACTAACCAATCAAAACAACACATTAATAAAGT